CACACTTTCTCAGCTTCAGAGGGTGGCAATGGCAGATGCCCTCTGAGAAAATTTTATCAAGAAACCTGCATTATAGGTTCACCTTCAGGTCGCCCTAAGCTGGAAATGATTTGAAAGCTCACAACAAAGTTTAGGCAGGACTTTGTATAAAATAATTGCATTGTCCATGGAAAGTTTTGGTTTTTATAAAATAATCTAATATTGTTCAATTCTGTAATTTAAATTACGAAGATTTCTTTCCTACTGTCACCACCACCAACGCTATCGTGTTATTTATAAAAGTGTGCTGGGTATACACAACCTACTATATTTCAGAGGAAGGAACTTGCAAAACCACCTCTGACTATTCCTTGTCTAAGAAAACCCTGTGAAATTAATATGGTCACCCTAAATCGACAGGCAACTTGAAATCATATACACATACATATTTAATACCATGTCATCACCTGAAGGCTCAAAACCTAAAAAGCATACCACAAATTGAAAGGTAGTTGAGTAGAAAGGGATATATTCCTTATGTAGGAAAAGAATTAATGCAAATACAATTAACCTAGAAATGGGAAGAAACAGAAAGCTTTTAATAGATAGATAGATAGATAGATAGATCAACAGGGAAGAACAAGAAAAAAAATGTAAGGCTTTAATCATTTTTTAAAGTGACGCAAAGAGGAGTCCAGACAATTATTTTAAAAGTTCTATTGTTGATGTTTTTATTTGTATACCACTTTTCTTCCAAAATTGGGACTCAAGGTGGCTTCTAATTTAAAAACACAGTAGAGCTAAAAACATAGAAAAAAGCGAACATTAAATGTTGATTAAACTTTTGACAATATTAACATGATATACAACTTCACTTAAAAAGCTAAAGCACCATTAAAAGATAATAGCTATTAAATGTAATACAACCAATCCTTCCTTTTCTTTTTCACAACCACCCTGTTAGGTAGATTTAGCTAAGAAACTATGAGTGACCTAAGGCTACCCAGCAAGTTTCATAGTGGAGCAGGTACTTGAACTTGAAAGTTCCTGTTTATAGAAATTTGGTGTCTTTGTCAAATAATATTAAGTTTGCCAAGTGTCCTCACTTACAAATATACAGTATTTCCATTGCGTCAATTTGCACATTCAGATGTTAATTGTCACATGCTGTTTAAGGGATGTACCTGCATGTGTAAACCAGCTATGTATGGTTCAGGTTGAAACCATAGATATGAGCTTTAGCCCAGATACATTCTCTCTATCTGATTTTAATATTGGTACAAGAGGAAGAAATTATGTATTTTACAGAGCTAAGTAGATGAGACATCTTTCACCTCTATCCTAACTCTGAGGAAATGGCTGACTTTCCATCTAAAGATAGCTAGAACTTAATTATCCAGATGACCTGAAATGAACAGAACTGACTCATTATGGATCCAATCTTATTTCTCCTAACATTGTAAAACACTGAATCTCAGCAGAATATTAACTAAAACAGAGCTACAGTCATTAACTACATATATTGCCAACTTGTCTTGGAAGAGCCTTGCAATTGTGTTCAGGAGCTCCAAAAAATGAATGGTTACAAAGAGTACAACAAAACTACGTAATCAGCTTAGCAAGGAACTCCCAAAAGTGAATGGTTACAAAAAAGGACAGAAAACAACAAAACTAGTCAGATTAGCAAGAGTTGGGATAACTATGCAGAAACTCTGAACTGTATGGAGACCTACAATTTGCGGTATGATAAGAATAGACATTGGATGGTTAGTTTGTACACTGATCCCATTTGAAGCAATCCTGCTTTGCATGCTGAAGCATTCCAAGTTTGCATGCTGAGCCACAGTTGGACTGAAATGTTTGTTGCTGTTGTTAACAGCCTTCTAGCCACCCTGTAGATGACTCACCTCCAAGACTTCCTATCCTCCACAGCTCTGCTTAGATCCTATAAATTCATACCCGTGCCCTTAATACAGTCCATCCATTTAGCATGCAGTCTTCCTCTCTTTCGACTTTCCCTCCACTTTTCCTAGCATTATTGTCTTTTCCAGTGACTTGTACCTTCTCGTAATGTGGCCAAAGTATGAGAGCCTCAGTTTTATCATCTTGGCTTCCAGGGAGTTTGCTGGCTTGATCTGCTCTAAGATCCATTTGTTTGCCTTTTTTGGCTCTCCATGGTATCCTCAGCACTCTTCTCCAGCATCCCATCTCAAATGCGTTGATTTTCTTCTCACCTGCTTTCTTCACTGTCCTGCTCTCACATTCATACATGGAAATAGGGAATACAATGGCATCAATTATTCTAACTTTTGTACTCAGTTATATATCTTTACTCTTTAGGATCTTTCCTAGTTCTTTCGTAGCTGCCCTCCCAATTCCTAGTCTTCTGATTTCTTGACTACAATCCCCATTCTGATCAACATTTGAGCCAAGAATTGAAGTGTACCTTGAAAAATTAAGTCCCATTTTCCTATGTATGTGTCATTCTGTGCTCTTTGGAGTGCCAGGTCCCTGGGCAATATTTTCCTGTTCTCTGCCAGAATATGGGCAATAGCATCATCTCAAAAGAAGGAGTAACAATGAATCTGGATGGCTGAAAGATACAGAGAGAAACTCAGAAAAAAATCAGTAGCCTGACTGATTGAAGATGAGGAAGGCAAGGAGTCATGAATATTCACTGGCCTATCCTATAGTTGCTATAGGCTGTCTGTTGGTTTAGGAAAAGATTAAGGAACATTTTAATGAACTCAAGAAAGAAACAAACCTCTGTCCTCTAAGTATGAAAAAGTCTGGAAACCTTTACACTTTGAAAACCTATTTGCAATCAAAGAGGGAGAGGGTCGGCTGTTTGAGGCCAAGAGTCTGTGTTGCTTTGCTGCTGTTCTCACAGTAGTGCTGAAGTTGACTCTGCTTTATTGAAAAAATGTGTTGCAACAGTGTGAGTAGTGGTCCATGTTCCTAAAAAGCAATTTACTTAACTCAGACGTCTCTCTTTCAGATCCCAGCTGTCTGATGATATACAAGAGACTCCTATAAAGTGGGCTTCAAAAGTTTCATGCACAGAGAAAAAGCCAAGTAAATGTATGTTGATTTAGCTCCTTGCCCTGATCATAGCTAACATAACATAAGCACTCACATAAAAGATAAATGCAGTTAAGCAGAACAGTCTGTGCATTCCTGTAGAAATGCAGCAACTAGATTCCTCAGACTATGCTCTCTTGACAGCAAATAACATTTTTCCCCATTTGAAAACTGTACATAGTTTGGCAGCCATATTGGCAGTTGGAATTGAAAAAGACTGAGCATCTTATTAGTAGGAGAAATTATAGCTGCCCTGAGTACCAGTTAAAGGGGGGAATATAAAGCATAGATATCTGTTAATAATGAAATAAGACTCCTGTGTTACATAACCCTTGCAATATAAGTTTGGCAGATGCTATTGAAGAAGAGCTACAGTAATAAGATATATAATCTTCCTCCATATAGATCATTGCTGAGCTCTGTGAGAGGAAGTAACTTTCCTTTTTGGTCTAAAATCCTTGTATTATGGTACAGACAGTATTGTTGTGGCATAAGGGTACTAAAGCAGGAACCCAATAATCACTTGGCTAGGAATAAGTCTCATTAAACTCAATAGGCTTTACATCTGAATAGAAATGTACTGGTTTGACACTGCACCTATCTTATTCCCGTAGTAATTTCTTTCATAGGATAACTAGATAGGCAGTTAATCATTAATTATATTGGTCTTTTTAATTTTTGTAAGCCGCTTTGATCTTTTTGGAAAGGCGGGGTAGAAATAAATCTAATAATAATAATAATAATAATTAATTTTTTTTCTAATGACTGAAATTTTAACAGCAATTGGGAGCAATTAATTTTTTTTTAATGATTTAAGTGTGATTCTTCCATACTACCTCAAAACTATTGTTTTTAATCAGCTACAACTATATGCTAATTGGCAGTGCAATCCTATGCATTTCTACCCAGAAGTAAGTCTCATTGAGTTCAATAAAACACCCACAGCAGAAAGCTTGGGATAACTAGTTATAAATAACAGGTTATTTGTAATTGATTCTTTTCCTCAATAATGAAGTTATAATTATGCTGTATTGTGATTGTAACTTAATGAAGAGTTATGTAAGTCCCTCTGTGATATAGTTGTTACTTTCAAGTTACTTTTGTAGTTATAGGTGTGTGACCTTACATTTCTGAAAGAGGAATATCACTTGCTTCAAGTCCTGGCTGCTGCTGCTGAGTTATGCTCTGTTGGGAGTAATGAATTGATGGCAAGATTTCATCTACATTCATTGTCATCAGTTATAGCAGTTTGATACCACCTTAACTGTCATGGCTCCATCCTGTGGAATCCTGAGTTTGGAAATTTGGTGTGGGATTTAGAGTTATCTGCTAAAGAATTCTAGTGCATTATTCTGAAATATAGTTTCCGGATTTAATGTTCAGTTGTCTCGTGATACATTGCATTCTGTAGGATGGAGCCATGACAGTTAAAGTGGTATCATACTAACTCCAAATGTTAGATAGTCCAGGTGAATAAAATATGTTTTGCATTACAGACCAATGATTCAGATGTTTTAAAACCAAAAATAATAGCGCTTACTTTTGAGAAGCAAGGCAGCACAGAATTACTTTAAAAAATACCTTTAGAAAAACCTAAAAGTAACCATTGACCATGCTTTTGTGAAATATGAAAGTAAAAGAGTTACCTTTAAGGAAATGTTGCTCTGTGGAAACTAACTACTTCTTTGAGCCTTGGAAATATAATGGTGACTAACTATTGTTTGAAAAGTAACTTTTAAAGCTCTGGAGTGTGTACAGGATGACAGCTTTAACCAATTAGCAAGCTGGTTAAGCAAATAAAATTTGCAGGTTGTTGTTGTGCGGCTTCAAGTCATATTACGGGGTTTTCTTGGCAAGATTTGTTCAGAAGGCGTTTGCCATTGCCTTCCTTTGGGGCTGAGAGCGTGTGACTTTCCCAAGCTCACCAAGTGCATTTCCCTTGCTGAGCAGGGATTCAAACCCTGATCTCCAGAGTCACAGTCAAGTGTTCAAACCACTATAACACGCTGGCTCTAAATTTACAGGATCAGCTGATTAATCTGTTTTCTTTGATTCACTATAGAGCCCTAGTTATAATAATACCAAGGCCTTCTAAGCTCCCTTTCCTTGCAACTGGCTGCACAGCTAGGGAGCTGTCCACAGCACTGGAAGACACACAAAATGGGGTGCCTATTTGCCTTCTAGCTCTTTAGCAGCTGACACACAGGCTGACATAAAATACAAATCAAATATGCTCCATTAGAAAGCACCCGTCACATAGGTGTGAACTGGTCAGCCCATAAAAAGGCCAACAAAGCAGCAGAATCCTCCCATTTTTCTTTCTTTCTCCAAGTATCTCTCTAGCCTGATTCAGCCTTCTGGTGGGGTAGGAACTCTCCTTTTTAGCTTCCTAGAACAGATCATTTTTAGAACTGGGTACAGTGGTCACTTGGTATCCGCTGGGGTTTGGTTCCAGGACCCTTTCCATAGATACCAAAATCCTTGGATGCTCAAGTAGTAGTAAAATTGTATCCCTTATATAAAATGGCAAAATCAAGGTTTACCTTTTGGAATTTTCTTTTTTTGAATATCTTCAAACCATGGATGGTTGAATCTGTGGATGCAGAATCCATAGATATGGAGAGCCAATTGGATTCAACTGGCAATTCTTGCTTGTCCACACTTTTTAAATTTCTTCCCTTGTTTGCTAGCTTTATTCAGAGTTTAGACAAGTAATTTTTGGGATTATGGTGCCCTGGATCTGCTGGCCAGCATAGCCATTTGTCTAGCTGGAGGGGGATTCTGGGAGATATAGCCCAAATATGTGACTTTTCCAGCTCTGGCTTTGACCCCTACTTTGACCACTGGATAGTGACCCCTGGACACTAAACAGAGTTTTTATGACAAATAAGCCACAAATAGCCTCCCCCCAGCCCCACCGCAGACAGCCAGATTATTCCTACCAGCCTTGGGAATGCACCAGCTTCAGCCCCGCTAATTGACTCTGAGAATCAAAGAATAATAGGAGTTGGAAGTGAGCATGAGGGCCATCTAGTACAAACCCCTTTGCTGCTGTGTGACTTCAAGTCATTTCCAACATATGGCAACCCTATCCTGGGGCTTGCTTGGAAAGTTTCTTCAGAGGGCATTTATTATTGCCATCATCTGAGGCTGAGAGAATGTGACTTGCCCAAGGTCCCTCAGTGGATTTCCATTGCTGAGTGGGGATTTTAAATCTAGTCTCCAGAGTTGTAGTCCAACACTCAAAGCACTGTGCATGCAGGCTCACAAAGGATACCTATCCAATCTTTATTTAAAGACCACCACCAAAGAGAGAGAGAGAGAGAGACTACCCCACCCTGCAAGGCAAACAGCTCTTACAATAAGTTTTTTATAATGACTAGGGAATGGAAAGAATATTGGTAATTGTTTGTTGTTGTTGTTGTTATTGTTGTATGCCTTCAAGTCATGTTTTTTTGTGGGTTTTTTTGGATTATATGGCTGTGTTCTAGAAGATTTTATTCCTGTCATTTTGCCAGCATCTGTGGCTGGCATCTTCAGAGAATGCTGGCATGGAAATGAATGGAGTATATATATATATATATATATATCTTCAGAGAATGCTGGCATGGAAGTGAATGGAGTGCCCTTGGTTGAGAGAAGGTGTTTTACATGTTAATCTGTGTGTTGTTCTGTTGTTGAAGGCAAGGCCTCAGGGTGGGAGGATATGCAAGGAGGCATTGTGTCTATTTAATCAGTGATCCATTGTCTGCTGGGAAAACCCCTCACCAAGTGGTTTTAATTTGCACATACTGGGTCTTGATTTTGGTGTTTTTCAGGACTGTCAACCAGACTTTGGGGGACTGCAGAAGGTGGCTCTGGGCCGCCCTGGGAAGTGGCGGATCTGGGGCATGGCAACCCCACACTGCGGCCTCGATCCTCCTTTTGCTGTCTCGAAAAGAATGGCAAAATCTTGCTCCTTTTAGGGTTGGCAAAAAGCCGCCCTAAGAGCCACGCACAGATCTTCAGTGCACTTTTCAGCGCAGTGTTTGAACACTGCACCGGAAGAGTGTCCTGACACTGCGCGCTACATGTAACAGTGCATAGCATCAGGACAGCATCGGTGTGGGGTTGGGGCAGCCAGTGTGCGGCTGCCCCACCCCAACTCTTCAGAGGCCCTTAGTTTACTTTAAGGGTTTCTTCTTTCCTATTGAAATTGTCTAGGTGTTT